ATTGGCGAAGACGTATTTTAATGTTCAAAAAAAGTTTTGGACAATTCACTTTTGATTTAGCATATTATTCAAAATTAATATTATTACCTTTACTTATTTTTACTATTTTAGTACAATTTAAATGTAAATTTGAGCTTAAAAATTACTTCATTACTTCCTCACTGACAATACTAAAAAATATTTTCTTTTATTTTTAAACGATATTAACTCTACCTTTCCCGAGAAATGAAAAAAAGATTTAAAACAAAGATCAAAAGAATTTGAACGAAACTTGAGGAAATACTGTCTCGTTAGTTTAAACAGAGTAGACGATTTCTCTCGTTTCATTATTATTTTGTAAAAATAGTTTCCATTTTTATCCGAATTAGAGATTTTTGAATACTTCAAGAGTTACTTGCACATAATTTAAATCCGGGATGGAGAACTTGTGAAAATGGATTAACAATACTTAAAGGTCAGTTTTCTTGTGACAATTGTGTGTATTTATGTTAATAATATAACACGTCTATTACGTACATTCAGACGTATTTTAGACGAAATGTCAGTTGAAGTGTAGACCGTCACCGGTTCGAGATTTACACGTTTTCCAGAATCCAAACATGAAGGCTTGCGAAGAGAAGTGGATGTAGGCGAAAGCCTGTCCACTTCTCTAAAGAGAATAGCCCCAGACGCAGAACAATAGGTAATTAGTGCCCATTGTTACGCTGACCACTACAACTTACATGGAATATACATGTTGTACCCGGTTCTGCCCCAGTGCCTAAGACATGTACACAATAAAGCCAAATCACGGGTTGATCTTTGATTTCTGATCAATTTAAACGTGTATTCCATTCAGATCTGTGACCTTACAATATTAAAATCGATCAAATTAATAATCCATTATTTACATTTAGTAGGTCCCATTTCTTATTTTCCATTCCATAAAAATTAAATTAAATGAATGAGATTTTTAAAACTTATTGAATAAAAATGTTTTATGTGGTGACTTGTAAAACTGTAAGAGACCAACATCAAAATTACATGTACACGTGTATACCATTGCACTTACACTATAATTCTGACAAATAATTTTTGATCAGTCCCCATCTGCCGGTTGCACATGTATAAACACATGTAGCAGAGTTATATTCTGGGACGATCTACGGATGCTTGCATTACGTATTCCTAAAAAAATAAATAAATAAATAAATAAAAAATGTGCCTCCAGACTGAACATATTCACCCCTTTTTTTCATCTCTCAATTTATTAAAAAAAAAAACCAATAAAATTTATCAGTTTCGGGCAGATTTTCAGGGGAAAAAGATCGAAAGACCGAACATTAAAAAAAAAATAATAAAAAACTATGCATATCTTTGGGGAAGAATTTAAAAAAAAAAAAAAAAAAAAAAAAAAAAAGCTATCATGTAAGGCCATCTTTAAAAAGAAAATGATTGTTTGTCCTCTCTTGACCGAGTGAAAAAAAAGTCCGAATCAAATTTTTCCTATTCTGCTGGAATTTTTTTTTATCCCGGTTTTAGCCCACCCATTAATAATTATTTCCACTTCAGTATTTTTAAATGAAAAAATTCACCAACCTCCTTACCCAAATTTCTTGAGTCGGGCAATCAATCCTTTTTTTTTTTTTTTTTTTAATTTTTTTTTAAAGCCTTAATGTTTTAGCATTACAGTGACTTATGTTAAAATGAAATCTTCATGCAAAAGGAAAATTCCATTTATTCTGGTTACAGACATACATGTACTATTTTCATAGATTCTTGGAAAACATTTGCCTTTACGCTGACAATTTTATTTAATGGTTAACTTTAATTATAATTGTCAAGATTTTCACAACCGTATTATAATTGAGACCAGTATCATATTTTTGTCATAAGCAGTAAATATAAAGAAACGTGAATATGTTGTTGGGAAAATTAAATAAAAAAAAAGAAAGTAATGATTGAAGAAGGTTTTAACAACCCAAAGCTCTATTTTAGCACCTTCTCGCTCAAAAACAAGGACCACAGTAATTATCAGTAAATCTCAGCATCGACAGCACATCAACAGTATTTATCAGTATTTATCAGACTCAACAGTAAAGACGACAGTAATTATCAGTATTTATCAGAAACAACTAAAATTATCAGTTACAACAGTAAGAATAACAGTAAATATCAGTATTTATCAGCAAGAACAGCACAGTATCAGTAATTATCAAACATTATCAGTAAATTTTGGGATTCTCAGCACTTTTTTCGTCCAGTAGTGCTGAGATAAAAGAGAAATGAGCATTATATTGTTAGAGCTTATACTCTTCATCATAAATTGTTACACATTTGAACTACATGTATTTCCATTTGAAATTCTAAGAATTGACCAAAAAGAGATGAAATTTGGTCATCTTTCTTCAACCCCTTTAGGGTCATTGCTATAAATAGTTTATTTTGTAAATCAAATGATTTGTTTCCTTCTTGGGAAAATTTGTTCAATTTTTGTTTAAACTGAGGTCCAAAAATTAAAAATATCAAACGTTTGATAATAAAACTTCCACTAGATTGTATCAAGTTTTCACTATTTTCCTTTCATTGCATTCTAAATAATGCATTAAAACTATAATCTCCTAGGAATCTATCCTTTATAAATGTCTGTTAAAGGATTTTTCTTACTTTACTTTCGATTATCCATGCGTCCTGATTCTTTTTTATAATCCATACTACATAGTAGACAACCAAATTTTCAAATTTATTTTAGCTTTTCTGCATTCTGGATGCATATTATGATACCATTTTATTTGTATAATGTAGTAAACTGAAGTTATATTTTTCGCTTTTTAAATTAAAGTACCAATATCCATCCCAAAAAAATCACATGTTGTCAGGACCTGGACTTTTCATTTTTTAATCGGTTTTAGGAAATAAAAGACTTCAGAGTTTGTTGTTGGTGCTTTAAGGTTGATTGAGTTATCTTTACTCAGTTCAAGAATCTAAGTGTTTTGGTCTATTATGAATATTTAATTTGTAGACATTGTCCTATTTCAATACAGATTTTCAAAAAAAAAAAGTTTGTCTCCTTAACCGACTGATCATGCGGAGTGTACTATTTCTTTTTCAAATGCGAAATACGTATATTTGTCCTTTCAGTTTTAGTACGTCGAGGTTCAACTTGGAGGTAATTATCCTTTTTATAATGTAAAGACTGCATCATGTATTATTTTATTATACCTCTATATCTTTATTAGACCTCTACTGATATTTTCCTATATAAATTATATCGTTAAATTTAAATAATTCCCCAGAAATCGCTGCGAATGGACTCATTCCCTTTTGCATTAGTCAAGTGAGTTAATCCTTGCTTCGAAATCTAATTCCATATCCGTAATCAATTAGATTTTACTTCTGTATCAGTAAAAAAAATCAATTAAAACGTATATATCATTGGCGGAGTTAGCCAATTCCATTCCCCTCCACCAGGAATAATACCTTTGGCTTCGCTTCGTAAAATAATCCTGGCCTCAGGAAACTGGAATCTTGCTAACGTCCTCATTGATATACTTAAACCATATAATATATCATTTATATTATATTGCATCTACACCTATGTGTTATTTACCGTCCACTCCATCACAGAAAAACAGCATAAAGAACACCATTTTCTTTGAGAAATCGACACCGTACATACCTAGTGTTGTACTCCTACAAAGTGATGTTTAAAACATGGTGACCTAAACTTTCATCTTGAGAACTTGAATGACTCAGACACTGCAAAGTTCCTCGGGATCTTAGATAAACATGGACAATCTCAACAAAATCAGAATCCAACACGTGATCACACCCTATGTTGTATAGTCCCAGGCACCTGAAGCATGGATCCCCCCCCCCCAACTAACTAATAAAATACTGATATAAGGAGACTTCATGTGATTTATCCGTCAATTTGATCTGTATGTCGTTTTGTGCAATTGGTTTGTACTTTTGTTAAGGGTTTAGAAATTGGCCACATACGGTCCAATAAAAATACACAAGGTAAGAAAATAAAAATTATAAACAAACAGGGGGTTCCCCGCTTCGAGGCTGATTTCCAAGGTACTAACAGTGTTATCTGTCTTATTTTTGCAACCACTCTGTCGGGGAGATGTTCTCCTACTCGTCTCTTTAATCTAAACCCCATCTAAACCCCACCCTGTTTTATATGCTGTAATCAGACGATTTATGAGACTAGCACATAAAATTTTCTCTACTGACAGCCTAGGAAGAGGTGTGATATGTTACGCTTTATCTGACTGGTCAAATGATTTAAGCTGTATTCCGTCGAAGTGTTGTTTCTGAGGTACTGATGTAAAATATCCCAAAATTCTGCATCGAGAGTGATACATCCCCCTCCCCGGTTGTTTGGATTAAAGAAACAAACAAGTAGCATTCAAAATGTAATTTATTTTTCCATATAAAAAATATTATGCTTGTAAACTATTATAAATTTATTGATCACATCACCTATATATATATATATATATATATATATATATATATATATATATATATATATATATATATATATATATATATATATATATATATATATATATATATATATATATATATATATATAATTATGTTTATTACACTTTCAATAGTGAAATACTGTAATGTATTTATTGAATTAAAGTGATTTTTTATCACAGAGTGAAGAATAAAAGTAGTGCGTCAAAAAACTCGAGATTTTCCTTTGTTGTAAAAAAAAAAATACTCCCTAACCTGTTAGAAGATAGAGTAAATAAACCATCTTGGCAGATACTTAAACTACCACAGTTTCTCCAAATATGCTGTTGAAATCCATTTTTACAATATTTCAATCTCACAATCACTAAGCTTTGTGTCTATCCGGATTTAAAAAAATCAATTAAAATTGCTGGTCATATAGCCCGATGATTTTCCTTTTTTATGGATTTCACTATAAGATTGTGACCTTTTCTGTCATTTACACTAAAAATATTATTAGTTATCCGCTGTCCAATCAAGGGTGTTCAGGGATTTACCCCGGGTTGTATTCCATACACCCTTCGGCCTCTGGGTGTATGGAATACAACCCAGGGTAAATCCCCGTACACCCTTGATTTGACCTGGATAACAAATTTATTTCATATGTACTCAAATAAATTCTTTTTAAAACAAGTGTTTCAAGCTATCGATAAGATTTACTACGTCCTACAATGCACCATGACGTCATATTATTTGCTTTTTATCATAGAGAAACTATGCATTTTGACGTCACGTTTTTTATTGCCGGCTCAAGTCGGTATCCGGAAATTTGCACCCGACTTTGTAACCAATCAAGGCTCGTGTTACAAGCTACATAGGAAATAATAGTATTTAAGTCCTAGCGCTAAATTCGTCCATCTTCTTAAGCAAAGCCTCGATAAGTTTTCTATCGTCCAAGACGTTTGCCAGTAGGAGTGAATTACATTCACATGCACATACCCTCGGGTCAGCCCCATGGTCTAGTAGTTTCAAAGTGATTGCAACCAGACTATCTGATCTTGGTTTCTTCTTATCATATACATTAAAATCATTATCCTTTTTACTGCCTTTATTCATTCTATATGCTTCAAGGTAAAGAAAACGAAGTAAAGGAGTAAATCCCATGTTGTCAATCACGTTAATGTCAACTCCGTTTTTTAAAAGAATGTCGAGTGTCTTTTCATCTAAAAGTTCGCATGACAAATGTAATGGCGTAAATCCATATTTATCTTTTGCGTTTATGTTTGCTCCGTATTCTATCAACAATGAAATTGTTGCATGGTTCTGACTAAAACATGCAAAATGTAAAGCGGACCGCGAATCTTTATCCTGAAAATTAACATTAGCTCCACACTCTAACAGAATTTTTGTGCACTCTCTATGGTATTGGGCAGCACCCATAAGTGCTGTTGATCCATTTTCATTTTGACAATCCAGATCAGCTCCGTATTTGATTAAAAGAGACACAAGAGCAGGAAAGTTATCAGACCTATCAGGATCGAAATTAAAGCATAAATCGTCTTCTGCGCTTATATCATGTAACCTGTAACGGAGTTTTTTAGCAACATCATAAGTATTCCATATACATTGAATGAGTACAGTTTGTCCCTTATTCAACTTCATGTTGATTTTTGCTCCGTTTTCTATCAAGATAGTCATTCCACTCTGGAATGAAGACCATGTTGCAATAGAGAGAGGAGAGCATATTCCTTCAAATGTATTGTTAACATCTGCACCAGATCTAATGAGTAGGGAAACCAACTCAATGTCTTTTATGCAGCAAGCACCAATTAAGGGCGAAGGTTGCAAAGAATCATTTGCATTAATTTTCGCGCCGTGTTTTATCAACAGCTCTGCGGTATTAAAATGGTTCCTGTAACATGCTGTGTATAATGGGGATATGCCATTATTGTCGAAGATGTTGACGTTTCCTTTCAGATCGAGAAAGAGTTTAAGAGTTTCTTGCTGACCTACATTTGAAGCCCACCATATTGGCGTTCTTCCATTCTTATCTTTTTCATTTACATTGAAGCCTTTTTTCATGAGTAAAGCAACCACCTCATAATTTTTACTCTGTATTGCAGCCCAGAGAGGAGTTTTACCTGCTTTATTTGTATTGTGAATATTTGCACCTTTATCAAGCAGATACGAGACAATTGTTAAGTGACCTCCATAACACGCCCACCAAAGTGCTGACCAACCCTCCTCTTCCAATTCATCTTCAAATATGTCTAGAATAAAATGGCTATCAAACATGTTTGAACAACATCTATCTTCCAAATCCGCACCATTCTCCACCAAAACTTGCACAACTTCGTTGTATCCTTTTTCACAGCTTACAACAAGAGGGGTATTACCATTTTTGTCTTTCATATTCAAAAGTGCTCCATTCTTCATCAACAAGTTTATAATATCAGTATGACCAATTCTACAGGCTGCAATAAGAGGTGTCACTGACTGGTTTTGGTAATAACTTAACTTGTTTAAGTCATGCATGTCGCAAACTCCTTCAGTGAGGAGAAACTCTAAAATGTCTTTCTTCCCTTTCAAACACGGCACAGTTACAAAATTAAGGCTCTCTAAAGGACAATTATGTCTTAGATGTTTAGTTGAATCACATGTTTGTTTACATAGGAAACAGGTATATGTCGAATTGAAATCAGGACCAAACAGTTTAAAACACAATTTCACCATATGTAAATTCCCACTAAGTAATGACAAAAGAAAAGCCGAGTTTTTACTTATAAATAGCTCATCCCTTAACGCCGTGTCGGCAACTTCTAAAGAGCGAATCAAGAAATTAGTCCATCCCGCACCAACTAACCACAATAAAAAGTTATTTTCGTTAATTTCAAGAAGTTGTTTTGCCGATACATTTTTGTAAAAATTTGGCATGTCACCGTTATAGACAGCTATTATTGTCAGGTTACGAACCGGTATCCAATTTTTCTCATGGGGTATTTCGAGTTCCTGTACTTCTTCTTCTGCTGATTCCTGTTTTTTCAATTCTTTTTTGTATTCTATATAATCCATGATTCTTGTATTTCCGATACAACTTCGTTTCTGCAAAATGTTATTTAATTTTCCATTTGACTTCAATCCATTGAATAAAAGTGTTTCTATTTCATCATCAGGAAAGCAAAGATTAAACAGTAAATCATGAACATCTGTTTCTTCCGTAGAATCCTCATTATCTGAACAGATGGTTTCTGATTCCAAACGATGTAATATTCTTTCAGCAAGAGCAGGTTTACAAAGTGAATTTAAGAAGATAAAGTATTCAGTCTCATCCTTATCTTTAACTGACATGCAACTTGGATTTCTAAGTCTAGCGTCCAATATCCACATAGGAGCAAATTTTATCAAGAGATGAAGAGATTCCTTTGCAAAGTGACAAGCTATAATTTCTGTCAATGTGGCATGCAGAAATTTATAAGTATCACCCTCCTTTTTTATAAAGGAATTTGTCAATGCTTCCAAAGCTAGTTTTATTCTTTTTCTGGAAGTACCTTGTTCTAGACAGCACTCGTCGTAAACTTCATCGAATATTTTATCGATCTTCTCATCATTCCCTTTTTGTAAGTGTGAAACTTGAATTCCGTTGTCAAAGAAGATGCATAACACAAGAGCACAGTATTCGTACGGCGTCGGATGGTGTCTCAGAACATCTAGTTCAAGAAAGTACTCTTTATATGGAAATTTCAGAAAACGTTTTATGTTTTTCTTAAAATTCTTATTGGTTGAAATGAGTTTGCATAATAAAGGAAAGCAATCATGCAAGTCCAGAATATATTTGTTCAATTGAAATTCATCCCGAGTGTGGGATTTAAAGATTGCCATCTTTTCTTCTCTCGTGAATGAAAATTTCTCAGAAACTAGATTGACCACTTCGCCCTCTGTTTCCCCAAACAGTTTAATGTCTCTGTAATGATGCGTACGACTAATTGAAAGTCTACATGAAACCAGTATTCGAGTTTTATCGTTTTTTGATAGGGAACGCATTATATCTTCTTCATATCTTTTCCATTCGTTTGCTAAATGAATGTCTAAGCACTTCTCGCCACATGGATCATCTATGACAAATATTTGGTCGGTATGTGCGTCGAAATATTGTAGAAACTCGCTCGGAACTTTTATTGGCAGGACGACATAATTATACTTCTGCATTTTTAATGCAATGTGATGTACAATGGCAGATTTTCCAGCTCCAGCATTTCCAACAATAGATACACATTTTTCGGATTGAATTAACATTTCAGCTTCTTTACATGCTCGGGTTTCATAAAATTTAGTGTCATCTTCTGACCATATATTTAGCTTGTCACCGATTTGCTCTAAAATGATTGAAAAATCATTAGATGGTACTTATATGTATTTTAGCCCTCATTTTAAAAATGATTTTTTTTTTTGAATGAATATTTTTGTGATTCCGGAGTTAGGTAAATTCACTACATTTCAGTAGGTCTTTTAATTATTGTATTAAATAACGGACGGTCATTGTAATCTGCTTTAATGATCATACTGGGTTTTTTTTTTTAGTTAAATACATCATTGAATAAAAGATAAAAATGAATGGAATTTTTTTTAAAATTTAGTTAAGCACATGTACAGTTTATATATATATATATATATATATATATATATATATATATATATATATATATATATATACCTTTGACATTTGGTGGAATAGTTTCTTGATACTGGGCTCTTAACTGGTTTATTTCTAACAAAAGCTCCCTATCTTTTTCCTCAATAAGAGATTCCTTCAAAGACTTAGCTTCTAGCAGTTGAGATTCACCACCTAATCTTCCTATAACCTGTTCAAAAGAAAAGTGATTTTTAAAATCTCCTGTACAAATCAATCACATTATTGGCTCATGAATTACGTACTCTTTCAATTTCTGCCCAATAGTCATTGAAGTCTTTTTCTGTCAGTTTTGCATTGTTTGAATGAGATACAAGGTTTCTGTAATGCTTTATTCTGGCAAGGTCTGCTCCAACACTGTCATCTTTCTGTAAAGGCAGCTTGTCAAAACCCGTTGCAGGAGCAGGGACATTCGTCATATACCGTAGAAGGAGGATCAGCAATGTGACGTCGAATTGCCTTGAGTTTACATATCCTGAAAAAAAGAATCCCTCAGTTTATTAGTGTCAAGAAATATATATTTTATAGATAAACAAAAAATATAAATTATAAATATTAATAATTTTGTTTGACATGCATTGGTCTTTTTTTTCCTTGCAAAATAGCAAAATAAAGAACATAGTTTTAGTCCTTTTATGTTGAAATGTATTCACGTAATGCTATTTATTTCTAATAATTCAATAAGGTCTCTAATTATGTCAATAATAAGGACACATTGTTACTTTTGTTTTTAAATTATTGTGCACCCTTTTATACCTGAGGGTGGGTACAGGGTCTTCCACTGTTGAGAGGAGATAATTCTTCCCTTCAGAGCTGAAAGGACATCTTTTTTGACGGCAAGATCTGTCATTAACTGTAACGGTGGGTGACGGGAATCAAAGTACGTTCTTACTGCTTTAGGCGCTCTTCTTAGAATCAGAAACGTGAATCGAAAGAAATTCATTTCCACAGGAGGAATAATGAAACGTTTGGGAAAGAGTTGTGGATGGATGTAGTTTTGTGTTACTTTTGTGTTAACTGTGTGTTCTGAGTGTTTCGTAGCAGTAGTATACGTTGGAATAGATATGTCAGTGTCTGAGTAAGTCGACACCGAACAGTCTGTACTGGATATTCCTTGTGATACTGTTAACTTGGGTGTATGTTTATCTTGTGATTGTGATGCATAGGACGACGTTGCCTTGAATTCCTTTGTGGTCATAATTGACGTCATTTCACTGGATTCTGAATCAACCACGGTACTCTGACTTGTTCTCACTAAAAATGTTTTATCACAGCTTTGGTTTTCTGACATAATATCTGCACTGTTTGACGGGAAAATAAGTGAATCTTGTCGTGTAGATGGAAATAATGACTGTGCTGTTATTGTTGTTGATTGTGGAAGTTGAGAGATTACCATATACCCTGAACAGGCAATGGCTGTGTTTTGTGATGATGTTAATTGCTTTGAGCTTGTCAACTGGTGTTCTAAGGTGTTCTCTGTAAAAAGATAATTGATGAAACATGTTATTTCTAAACGTTACTTTTTGTTCCAGCAAAAATAAAACAATGCTATATCTTTACAAAAAGAGGTAAAGATTTCTTATAAAAAGTACGTCTCCTCATTACCTTCTAAAAGATGTACATGGCCGGGGGGGGGGGGGGCGCGGGGGGGGGGGGGGGCGTGCCCCCACCAATAATTTTGCCGATATATAGAATACTATAGAAAACATAACTATTATATGCTTGTGCCCCCTCAATAAAAAAGTCTGATGACCCTTTTTTTTTTTTTTTTTGCTTGTCAAGGAATTTTGGTAGTTGATTGTGCCGCCCCCCCCCCCACCCCCCCCCCCCACTGAAAATGTATAGTTGTGTCCCCTCAAAGTGAAATTGCGTCCTACTGGCCTGATGTAACCCTTGTTGTTTGATAATTCATTCTTCAAACTGTTTTCAGAGATTGGAATGCCCGATGTACGTCTTGTGTATATCAATGATATAGAATGATATGGTGCTATGGATTGATAACAAGTATGTTCATTGAACGGCGCAGAATCTGCATCGTTTAAAGACGATTTATGACACAATTTTATTTCTGGAGTATGTGAGGAGTTCTCTGATTCTCTACTCACTGATTCTCTTTTTTCATTAGTCTCCATTTGGTCAAATCTTTTCTTTTTTTTTTTTTTTTTAAAAATACTCTTTTGTCAGTTGTGTTTATTTTAAAACGTTTGATATAAATCTGTGATTTATTCTTGGTCAAGTGTTTCGTTTCTTACATAAATAAATCTTGTTTCAGAATGTGATTAGCGCCGACGGAAGAAAAATGCGCTTGTATAGAAATTTGAATAAAAGCTAATATAGCTTCATGTGTTTTTCTATTGGCATTAGATAAATTCTGAACGTATAAATTATCCACTGGTTTTAAAACTGAGGATTATATAAATCATTCACTGGTTTTAGAACTGAGGATTATTTGAGAGCGTGAATATAGTCTAAATCATCACCGCGGCCAATTGTTCTCAATACAGTAGTTTCAGGACATATATAGAAATGAAATTCATTTTCCAGTTTCATTGAAAGGATGGATAATAGATCTCAAATATAAGTACACAAACATAACATCGAATATTCTAAATAAGGATCATTTATCGAAACTTGATGATTTAGATCTCAATAGTACTAGGCATGTACTAATTTTAGCGTGTTGGAAAAGAGGGGGAAATTGGATCCTTTGGTATGATCGTGATGTAGCAATCTCAGTATATTTCTTCGTGTAATAGGGATATAAAATCATGCTTTAGTGACGCTTGCTCCGTGATCGGAAGGTCGAATTTTCGAATCACGGCCGCAACCGAGGTTCCGTGTCACGATAAGCGTTGACACAATAAAGAACCCTCACTGCTCAATGGCCCCGAGTGTCGAGTTAAGGTCAAAATTTAATTTTGGTATATGGTCTCTATATGTGTGAAAAATTCTCGAACTGGACGAAAAACAACACACAATCAATCAATCAATTATACTTTCGTGTTAGCCATATGACATAGGCCATAAAGTGCCAAAATCATAAGAATATAGACAATATAACTCTTGTAACTTACGTCCACAAACATTCAACTTAAACATTTATACAGGGTAGAAGAGCATTTAACTCACTAAATCTCGATTTGCATTCTGCATTCAAAATGACCTTCTATTCATATAATGTAAATGTATTTACGTGTACGACATTTTAAATTTTTAAATAGATTTTGCATTGTACAAAAGATAAAATGGCATTCCCAAAAAAAATTTTGCAATGCTTTGATATAATTGATATAATTGGCAGAATAAAAAATAATATTAACATTTATTTTTTATCAGTTTGTATGAAATAGGTGAAGATATGTATAACTGATCGATCTCAAAAATCTACAAACAATACAATTCTGTGAACAGGGCATAAACACGGATCCCTTAACATTCCAGAGATGAATCAGGTGCGTGAGAAGTAAGCATCCCTTGTCGAATGATAACATTCACCGTGAACCCTTTGTATTGATTAGGATTTATCCGTAATAAAATTTATTATAAAAACATTGGCCCAACAATTGGTATGAAAAATATTAGTCAAAATACGACCCAATTATAGGTTCCGTTTGGTAACAAGGTCATGATAACGACTATAGAGTTAACGTAATGCTGACTTTAAACAGGGTTGTTTAAATCCCTGAATATCAACTTATTTGTAAGTAGCCTGCCTCGGTTTAAAAATTGATCGTACTCAGAGCATGCTCTTGAACATCGAATCAACTGGGAGGCATAAACACCATATGCAAGTGATTGCGCAATATTACTAAATAAATAAGGAAATTTGACGATGGAAACGCTGGGAAATATCGAGTCGACATGAATGGAAGTAACTATTGTTAATTGATAAAACGTCGTCGATACATCTGAATGTCTAGTTGAGGCCACTGTAGGTGATTTCTTTTTCTTATGTAAAGCTTTTTGAATAAATCCTGCTTCATAGGAATATAAAAATAGGTCGGCTAATAAAGGAATAATTATGCATGTAAATGATCCATGCAAATTTATGCATGTGTATTCTTATGCTCATGTCTTTTATTTCAGTGTATAATATGACACACATAAAGACATATTCTGCCAGGAGACATGGACAAAGTATACGGATATGAATAAGGATATATCAAGTGACGAAATACATCGCAAATGATTTCTGTATTATTTTGTATTTATTTAGATCCACTTGATATTATTATCATATCATCATATCATTTTTATGCCAATGAAACAGGAAGGTACGATTAAAAAAAAAGGTAGCTTGAAATGTGATATGTAATTTTGAAGATAATGGACGAGGAATATTATTTGGCATCTACATCTATACATTGTTTGTCCAGTTTTTCGTAATATTAGAGATAAGTACACATGTATCATTAACATGAACTGCCCCGAAGTCCTCTTAATATAGAATAAATGATTATAGTCAAAATACTGATAAAATGAAAGTTGATCTCATGATATGAAGCGTTGAAGTGAACTTAAAATAAGTAGCATTATTCAAAGGGTAAGCGATCGTAGTGTACCCTTGTTGCTATGAATGGCTTCATGGTTTGATTACCCCTAACGTGAATGCACTTAATATGTACCCCAGCAGAGCGTTTTATGACACCACCTTCGTTCTAAACAAATTGATTAAACATGGCATCTCCACGCATAAATTAATGTAGTTATACAGATTATGTACCAGTGTAGTTCTATGAAACCTTCCTATAAATTTAGCACATCAAGTAAAAACCTAATTTAGTTTAATATCAGCTACCACAAATGAACACACTTACCTAGAAAGTAAACAAGGAAATCCAAACTTTGTACATGTATGCGAGATCAAATTTAAAAAGCTTCTCTCAAGATTGATTTAAAAAGCACGAACTTGTATGCACTTGCACCGGTCAATGAACACAGTCGAAGTTCAAATACCATTATAATATGAATGCTTATTAGCATTATGGATATAAGGCGACTGAACATTGAATGAAAAAGGTGAAAATAACGAACATTGATCAATCTCAAAACCTTCTAAATTCTGTAACATCACTTATTTTCGTGGAGTCAATATTTCGAGGTTTGAGGAAAAATATTAGTTCGTGGAAATTTGATTACGAGGTTGAATAAGTGTTCAGAAGTAATATATTTGGAATTAACATTTCGAGGAGTACAAAATTCGTGGGTCTCTGTACCACGAAAACAACAAAACTTAAATAAGTGATTTCACAAGATACAAATTTGTGAACAGGGCGTAAAACACGAATCCCTGGAAATTCCGTACGTGGGCTCAGGTGCCTAGGAGGAGTAAGTACACCCGACAGATTACACCCTTTGAGCCCTATATATTGATCAGGTAGACGGAATAATCCAGAGTCAAATTTGGTATAAAAGCAATGGCCTAACTATTTGTTTGAAATATATCAGTCAATATAAGACCCATTGATATATTGTTTTCGAAAGAAATTTACATGCCCCTATGCGGCTCATCAATTAAAAGTAAAAAGTTAATTATTCCATATATATATATATATATATATATATTTGAAATCATTTATTGTTTAATGTTCCATTCTCTACTTGGCTTATCTCATTTCCCAAAACAGTAGATCTAATTACCTAAGTTAAATATTAAAAACCCCTTTTGACCAATCACACTAGTATGTACTAGTTCATGTATAAGGAATAATCCAAAATTTCACTTGCCCTGAAATATATAACTAAGTCCTTAAGACTTCCAAAAATCAGCACACACACACACACACACACACATAGATTGATATATATATATATATATATATATATATATATATATATATATATATATATATATATATATATATATATATATAAGTAAATTGCCGCTTGTCTCTTTTCTTACCATATCTTTTGGTATGTCCTGTTACAAATTAAATTCCATTGGGTACTACGATTCCTTTTTTATTGAGGGCATTGAAAAATAAGGATATAATTATCTCTTGCAATTTTTCTAAACAAATATCCTTTTGTTATTTTGTTACAGTGAAATTATTTAACCTCCATTAGACATTTTTTGCATACATTGCAATTACATTGGAACACATATAGAACATTTAATTCTTAAAATCTTGCTTGAAAAATACATAGTTTGACTTCGTCGTAAGTTTCATTTGAAACGCTAACGTGAACTTTCTAAAACATCAAAATATAAAACATTTTAAATTAAATCAAAATTGTTGTAAATCAAAATCATGACTTTTCTTGTACATTTCGCTGCATATAAGATGTTTATTTCTTTCAAATCAAAATAAAGCAAGGGTGAAATGATGTCTTTCTTAAATAATAACTGAAATATACAGAAAGTCATTATATGTTCCCTGCCCGCAGGACCGGTTTACAACAATATGTGATATGCTTGTTTTAAATATGAGATTTTTCTGTTCCTTCCACCAATCACAGTTTGCTTTTGTCTTCTTCATACGCTGGGTTGTGCACTTCAATCTCTCTCTCCTTCATCATTGAGGTTTGTGAAATATCATGTGGTGTAGATTCTCTGTACACATTGTAAAGACCTCCTTCTTTTCGCCTTTGCAGTCTCTCTCTACATTGAAATGCAGATTTTAAAGTTCACAACTATTTTATTAGTTTGCACGATTTAATTTCATTATATTGCTAGCATGCAGGGGTAATTTGGTCTTTCTTACTAACTGTAGCTTTAGTTAAAGGAGAATAATTTTTTAATCAAAAGGGGACACGTTTAGGTTTTTAAAATCTTTAAGTTACCACAGCTTAATTAATGGAAATAAATAATACAGTGAAAATCTTATTCTTTAAGGTACATCAAGAGAAAATTCAAATGCTTGCCAATTAATTCTTTGCTAAGGTCATGTTATTAGGCTATTTAGATGAACTCACTTTTGTTTACATATGTAGAATAGGGTCAACAGGAAGAGGAATCCAATGACACCACAAGTTGCTGCCAGAATGGTGACCAACTCACTACTGTAGCCGTCTTCAGACTTTGATTTAGATACCTGAATAGCCGCGAATTCCTGTCTGCATTTCTCAGCTGTTGGAGTAAAACAGAGAGGGATCCATTGTATTTAAGAATGTTTCCAAAGACCCATTGTATTTAAGAATGTTTTCAAAGAAACACAGGAGAGTGTCGAATAAAGTTAATTTGGTTAAAAGTCTAGTTTTATATTTTGTTTATTTCTGCAATGAAATGTATTTAAATACATATAGCTTTGATTATCTTTTGAATACATACTATCACTGTTTGTCCATGATGATGTGCTAACAGACGGGTCACAGAGTTTACAATGGTCAGTTTGTTTCTCTTCCAGCAAGGCGTGGCATTCGCCGTTAATAAGACATGTGTTCTCCTACGCAAAGTAAATGTGATCAAGTTGTTTGTAAAAAGATATGTATAAACAATTAAAAAAATTGAAAGTACCTCCAAAAGGTAACTGAATAATATAATACTTACTCTCAGTTTACAACTGGATTTCATGATATCGTCTGCGATTGAACAATCAAAGCACCTGGAATCATACACTAAATGAAGGTATTGGTTCTCACTCAAAGTTTGACCATCGTTGCTGACCTGAATGAGAGCACCTCCACGAGATTCTGGGAGATTGCACGAGATCTGATTCATATTTATAAAATCACCAGAAACGGTTCTCATTGCTGTAGTTGTTACAACATCAGCTTCTATCTGATGATGAAAGATAAAAATAAGTTTGTCTATATGAATAACAATCTAAGAATTAAATGCAAGAGTTTGCAACACTCTTATGATTATTTTTGTCTTTTTCTTATGGCTATTTAAAACTAAATTCACTTCAGGCATACATAAAACATCTGCATTCATCAAACCATTAATTTTCTATTAACTATTGAAAAGCACGTCGACAGAATGAATTATCACTATAGTGTATAAGAGAAACATAACCTTGACGTATTTGTAATGACAGGTCAATGTCGATGAGTCCACGAAATTAGCTCCATATACAGTGGCTGTACTGCAGTCTTCTACTTCCTGTGTATTACAACCACAAGTATCACAACTGGTACCGTTAAACAGAGTCTCCATGACAAAAGGTATTGTGGATTTGTGAATATCACACTGGATACCAGAATATCCCTCATCACAAACACAAACTCCTAAAATAGTTAGAAAGATTACATATGTCACTCGAATTAAAGTTTATCAAATCTTAAAATTGGACGTCAATTCACTGATAATTTTTTTCCGTTTATAAAACTGTTTTACGTACTATTAATAAATAAATGTAATTGCTTATTATGATGACTTTACAACTGGATTATAATAGTTATTGAATCTTAAAAACTGGACATGCATGGTGACATATTAATCAACAACTTATTATTACATTACCAAGTGAGAAAATTAGCATTTTTATTGAAATATATTTAAAAAATAAATGCTTTTCTGCACTTTTTATCTATATTACCCTCTGAGCAGTGACCGTTCTTTCCACAGTCTAGCTGACAGAGATTATTTGTGATATCTGTTGTGTTAAATGTAGGTTCAGTTGTTTCGTTCTCCGCCGGTTGCTGCTTGTTTACCTCAGCTAAACAGTTGGTAACTATGTCGCTTATATGGTCTTTCGCCCACTCAGGATCGCCTGTAAGCTATTTATAAAATTCATAGTAACAAAAATGTGGGCAAAGGGATTGACAGACTGCAAGTATGTTTTTAAAAGATGGCAATGAATGCTTGCAAAAATAGTAATCAAACACTTTGAAGAATGTACAATCGACTTAATATATATACCTTTAAATCTTCAGCACAACTATCCACTTGGCTGGTGTAGTTTGAGGAGTTCAATACGGACATGCAACTTTTGGAGGCGGTACTGTTTGCAATATACTCTTCGCAGTAATTCCTTGCACTGTCCCAGGTGTATGTATCGTCCTGAAAAATAGTAAACAATTATTTTACTTAACAATGGAATCTTATCACAATTTACCTTTGTTTTCATTATGTAAGTGAATACCTCCTCAAAGTCTGGCATCACTTGTTCATTTCCTGCTTGTCGCCGTCCTCGATGAGAAGAGGGACGAGCAACCAAGGCCTGATTCACAATTGTTGATGTGATGTCATATCCTAAAACAGAAATGAAATATTTACATTAAAGAAGGCAACAAAAAAAGTTGGTAGAGGTGGAAGGAAAAAAATAATACTCACTGTTTCTCTCGCAAATAAAAATACCATATCCTGGAGAGCAATAGGGGGTTCTATTATCTACACAACTACACCATGTTGTTATTCCGGGCAAGGTGCCCGGTCTAACACCAGTAAAAATTCTTTCTGCAGGTCTGTAAGTAGATGCTATGATTTAATTTTGTATATTGTATTACCAACACTGTAAAATGTACTTTCGAGTAATACTGAGAAGAAACTGTACTTGATGTATATACATGTATTTAAAACAAAACAAAATCATAAAAAAAAAATTTCTGAAAGCTGTTGTTAAAATGAAAATACTGTATACAGGGAAATTTTCGCCCGGTTTTATTTTCTTCCCTTTGGCCCTGCTCACAGGAGGGCGAATTCAAAACAGGGCGAATTCAAAGAATGCAGAATAATTTCTTAAACTGAATTGTGACTGGGAGAACTTAAAACGGAGCAAACTGTTTGCAGGTGTGAAAGGGCAGAAATACCACGGGGCAAAAATAACCCTGTATACAGTAAACGATTAAAATATCAAATAACACTCCTTTTTTACTTCAGATCATGAATATTTTCTTTTGATATATATATATATATATATATATATATATATATATATATATATATATATATATATATATATATTCTGCGTCACCTGTGACTATTACAGAATGTGTTGGGATATCTATCTCTTCCAGGTACGTCGTTACCAGAGTTACCATCATAATTGCCACACAAACCTTTAAAAAATCGAAGAAAAAAGACTTGTGTTATTGAGGGGTCATGTTATAAGGTTTTATCTAAAATTTCTAAGAAGCAAAAAGCAAATACATGTCCTCATATGTGGCCTTGAGTCCTCTTGGGTTTCTTTTTCTTCTAAGGCTACATATAGAATATTTTACCCGTGATAATTCTTACATATTAAATATGTACCTGTAACTTTGTTGCGATCTACACTTGATGGTTTAATCCAGATGTTAATAAAGTTTCTAGAACTTGTCTGTATGGTAATGATGGTGCCAGTCGGGAGCAGAACCTTAAGAAAAATAGAAATCATATAAATCTACACGTAAATGCATTTCTGTGACATTTCTGAAGATTCTCATCATACATGTACATCTGATTTGTCATTGCTGTATCCAGCAATCCTATAATAAATGAGCTGGGTGAGCGCTGTACGTACATTTTATCCATGTCAACATACTAAGTTTTGAGTAATATAAATCCACGAACCTCATATTTCTGACCACAGCCGTATCTTCGGATGTAAGTTCCCGGGGTGAGTTGACCGTTCTTATACAGTTTTACACTTATTGGGGCCGAGTGACTAGAACTATGATGATGGTGATCGTGATGGCGATGGAAGAGAAGATCGAAGATACTGTGACCACCAGATGTGCTACCTCCATTACAACCAGTGAAGGTAATGACGTCATCGCCTGATTTGATGGCGACTGCACAATTGCATGTTGCTCGTGATGAAGAACTGCACTTTGCGTAACTAGCATGCACCTTTAGTAATGAATCAAAACCTGTCAATCCGTATATATTAATTTTTTTACAGGCCTTACAGAAAAAAGACACGAAGACAAACCTCAAATGGAAGTGATTTGTGTTGATACAAAACGAATTCGCCAGTGAGGAAATTATTATATCGCCTGAAGAAAAGAAATAAAGAACATTTTGATATCGCCTTTAGTTGTACCGCCTCGACTTTTAAGACTGTTTTCAAACACCTTTTATCAATGAAGATCCCCACTTACCTGCCATCAAATGTAGTAATGTGAGGGTCATTTACAGAACTACAGACGGATTTATGGTCATTATCCTTAGCAGTGACCTAAAAAATAAACATTTTTGATAATAATACACTACATAAATAAGAAAAATACATATAAAAAATCTGACAACCCTCATCCATTATCACTCAATAGTTCTCCTTTGTATCCAAACAAAATACGAAACCAGCAATATTAAAAACAAACCTGCACACACACACACACACACACAAAAGAAATCAAAATATTAGAAAATATCGCAAGATTTTTTTGAACAAGCAAGATTTTTGGATTTTTTTTTTTTTTTTTTTTTTTTTTTTTGGTATTTCAATGGGATATCCAATAGCCTATTTTCAACATACTTCCATATTTAGTCTCTGAACCCCACTTATGATCAGGAAATACAAGTCCAAAGTAAAACTCTTTCTTGTAGTTTCATCTTATAGATTTTGCAAAATTATAGCCTTGCTGTTCCGGACTTTTTCTAAAAGCAAAATATTTACATGTATGTGTAGAACCTTCCTGTCCTCTGTTCGCCCCATCTCTGCTCCGGGGATAATGATTTGACGAAATTACAAAATGTATTATACACTCCCAAAAGCTACTTCCATAATTATTTATTTTAGCCTTAATTGGTGTGCATTTTATGAAGATTTTATAAGATATTTTTTCTTTAACATACCTACACAATTTTTTTTTACTATTTTTTGCCTCTAACAGGTCCAGGGAGTCAATAAAACACAGTTTTACATCGGTGGTTGGAATTAATCTAGTGGTTTTACAGAAGATGTCGAAAATGAGAAGAAAAGTTATCTAGGGCATATAGACTACCGGAATACAGACACTAGTTTTCTGTTCACTTTCTATCACAATTTAATAGCTCCATTCCCCTAGGCATCTAAAAATTATTGAGTATTGTATTCCACCAAATTCAAGTTGAAGTCCAAACCTTGTATTTCTTACAAATATATATCGACTATTGCTTCCTAACTTTTAAATCACTATATAAACACTCTTCAGTGCCTAGATATCTGAAATATAATCCTCCAACGTATTCACGATCATATTCTTCTTCAACCTACAAGTATAGTCTTGCTGGGCACGTCATTACTGGTAAGGTAAAATTAGTTAATAATGAGGAACTTAAATCACTTATTTTAAAGGAATCAAAATTTAGGGAATCCGATCTTTCAACTGGCGTAATAATTTCATAAATATTATGAATTCTGTGAAAGATCTTGCAGGGCAATGGGCCAAACATGAAAAAAAGACCTTGACACTTTTTCAGAATAAAGTAAAAGTATCAGACAGTGTTGAAATCCCACATTAAGCGATTGAAGAGCAATATGAAATCCGTGTAACCTTTTGTCTTCAATCATTCAGAGGTGAAAAAAAGAGTTAGACAGATCACACAATCAATGAATATACTGGTACCAGCTGAAGAAGCAGGTTGCAACATTGTCTTTGTAAGGCTCATTATTTTAATTATATTTAAGACGAGCTGGGAATTAATTCTGCCAGTGGTTTTCCAACTTATACCAATAGCTCACTTTCTAAGGAGGAAATTCTTCAAAATCATACGTCATTTTCAGATATTTTTAATATTCCCAACACTGAAATTGAATTTCATTTAACATACTTATACTGGATTCCTAAACTACTTAAAAATCCTTACAAATAAAGATACATAGCGGGTTCCAGTAAATGTTTTACCAAGCCTCTTTCTTTACTCCTCACTATAATATTAACAGCAGTGAAGGAGAAACTTCAGGAATATTGTGCAACAATATATTGTAAAATCACATATTTTCGTTGGGTCAAATTTTCTTTCGTCGATACAATGACCTTGTCAGCAAAAGTGATCTATCATTAAGTCGAATGCTGACGTTTATCATGTTAGGCCATTATTTACACACTGAATTGTCTAAGGATTTTTCCGTAAGTGTGATCATTACAAGGACCAAACGGCGGGTGTGACCGGTCGACAGGTGATGCCTGCTTCTCCGTGGCACCTGGTCCCACCTTTGATGTTTTCAAAGGTTCTGCTCCCGATTTATAGTGTTTCAACTGACTTTTGAGCTTGATTGCTGTTCTCCATATTTCATTTATAAGACTGAAAAGTCAAATACGAACTCTTTCTATTGCATTAAAAAGTTTATAATTGGAACCCACATCCCTTTACAGCGTTGCTGAAATAAAGCTAAGGGAGAATTCTGTATTCAAGTTATTGTTTACTCGTAGATCTGACGATAACGTACAGTCAAACCTCGTTATCTCGAACTCGATAGGACCGAGAAAAAAATTCGAGATATCCGAGCTTTCGAGATATTGAAGCTAAAATACTTAAAGATAAAGTGCCTGGAACTTCCAAATCACTATAACATATCCATGGCATTCAAAATATCAGTGCTCGAGATATCGATGTTCATGTGTATTTTCTCTTAGCAGAAAGATCTAGTCACCATATTTGGCTATAATGAATCTGTATTACAATATTCCTCTAGTAGATTATTAACGTGTTAATCTGAAAATGTAGAACTTTTCTTTAATTATTCATTGTCAGAAGAAACTTACGGATACTTTTCCAATGTTCAGTGTATGTGGTGTAGTTGTTACGGACCCTGACTGTACATTCAATATGTTGGCATGAACATTATAGTTAACAGTCTTGTCACGGTCATACGACCCATCTACTGTTGCGTAAACTGGTAAGCTTATTGGATTTTCCCAGTTATGGCAGTTAACTACAACGCCACATGTTTCAGGCTTGCTCGACTGCTTTTCCCCAGCCCAGCCAATCAGAGCTTGAGGAACGACTGACCTCCCACCAGGACAGGACTTGATGATGTAACGGAATTCTAATTTAGCGGTAACTTTGAACTCACATCGCCCTCTACAGCCCTTGCAGCAAAAGAACTGTGGTGGCGCTGTTACTTGGACGAGTATGTGTGGAATAGGGAAGAGTGTTCCTTCCGTTATTTGTAAATGGTTGCCTGAAGTTATCTGTAAACGCAGAAAATTCTAAAGTGAGCAAATACTGAAATCATTTATTTGGTTAATTATACTACTAGATATTATGAAGAGTGAAATTGACAATGATGAACTGTCAGTACCTGAATGTTAGGCTCGAAAACATTACTGATAGAAACTGGGGTTAAAGCTACTTGATCCTTGAATTTGGCTTGTATGGAACAAGTTACCTGTAAGAAAGTCAAGATGATAAGTGTTTGGTTTTTTAATGTTCATGTACGATTTAAAATTCATAAGATTAAAAGTCAAAATACCCTTTGCTTGTACAAGTTTTCGTTAATTTCGGCCGCAGAAAATTTGTACTCGGTTGTTCTACCAGGAACAATGTGTCTCAGAACACATTTTCTGTTGCCAATATTTAAACAAACGATGAACTCGACATTATTCTGAATAGCTGCCTGGAATGAGCAAGTCAAGTAAGCTGTGCATCTGCCATCAACTGATGGCTGAAGGCTAGGCTTATTAGTGTACGAAGGGACAGTGGGCCTCGGTTTTGTTGTTGTGGGTTCCGGTGTCGTTGTGGGTGTCGTCGGTCTGGCAGTCGTTGTCGGTCTGGCAGTCGTTGTCGTTGTCGGTCTGGCAGTCGTTGTCGGTCGAGGTGTCGTTGTTGGTTTACTTGTAGTTGTCGGCTGAGCTGTAGTTGTCGGTTGACCTGTAGTTGTTGGTCGAGCTGTGGTTGCTGGTTTAGTAGTGGTTGCAGGACGAGCTGTCGTTCGTTTTGTTGTTGTTTGCTTTAGGGTGCTTAAGTCTGTATGATAAACAACGCATAAAATGATATGGAAAGTTATAAATTAGTTTTCTGTGCAAATTAACTTTATCATTGCTTAAAATATTTTATAAAACCATAAGACTTTCGTGGGTGGGATTAATTTGATTGGTGATATATTTTAGTTTTTAAAAGAAATGTAATTAAGAGAAGAAATCATATCATTGCTGTTATACCTTTACAGACATATTGACCAGAAGGACAGTAATCAGTCGTGTGGTGAACCGCTGGTGTGGTCTGTACGGGAGATGGAGTAGTCACTTAAAGTAATAAAATATGAGAATATTGCAAAACAATATATCCTAAGCTAAAATGGACAGAAAGAAATCTTTACGGTATTCTATGAAATTGGAATCTAATGTATTTACTTTCAATTGGAGGAGGTATAATTCCACCGGCTACGCAATCTCCAATCCAGGCATGGTATATGATAAGAGACTTGATACACAGGTTGACGTTGGTGGTGGTCGATGATGGAGTGTTACCTATGTACAGGTGCTCGTTACTGGTGCTTATAGTGGGGTGAGGAATAGATGTCATTGAAACAGCCACAACGTGGTTGTCAATAACCACTTTAATACCGTTCTTTTGAGACCAAGAAAAAATTATTTTCAAATATACGTTTAAAGACAGTTTATCACGCCCAACACTGGCAAACCAAGAATGAGTTTTACTAGACACCGCAAAATGTAGACGCCCAAACTGATAGATCATTTCCATTCCTGTTCCTAATAGATTGCTACCGCCACTAGATAATACGATTGTTCCCTCGTCCAATTGTTGGAATTTTACGATAATCTGGATTGTTAATCCTTGCAAACAAAGTCCAATGTTTCCAAAACATAAATTTCTATGTTCTCCAAGATCCAGATATTGACTTGAGTTTGATATTTGCAGAGAACAAGCTGAATTTTTCGATGTATCAATAGATGGTGTTCCAACCACATGCATATTGACATTATTAGATGTCAGTGTTGTTACATTAGTCGATACTGCAGTTAAGTCGAAGTGGTACTGTGGTATTGTTTCTATGGTTGGCTTTACAGTACTTGTTTCTGAAAGAAATTTACAATACTTACGAAATGTTAACAAACGTTCAAATACTTATAAAGGTAGTTAACAAATGATGCATATCTCTTACCAACATAGTACACAATTTCCGTCATTCCAGAGATCATTATATTTGGGTTGTAATTTGCTTCAATATTATGTGGAGAACCAATTACAAGATTTTGTGACTGCAGAGTCACTGAAACATTTGTTGATGGAGTCTTGGACTCTACATGCATTCCATCGATATGTAAAACAAGTCCGTTAATTTCGCTCCAAACAATCTTATACGCATGCCACTTGTGCTCGTTAAAAGCAAACGGGAATTGCAATGTCCAAATCTTCGTGGTGAGTACACTGAGATAAAAAGTGTGATTGAAATGGTACAATTCTATTCCAGGACGAAGCGGTCCTGCGCTTGAAAATATGTATGTTTTTGCTGTATGAGATGGATCTGTTAAAAACTTGAGTTCAAATGAAAACGAAAATCCTGCTATACAATGCAGAATATTATTTAAGCAGCTTTGGGAGTTCGCATGTTTAGAGAATTCAATAAACTGTCCTGTTTTATTCAAAACTATGACCGTTTTATTGTTCGCGCTTTCTACAAGTAAAGGGTGTCCATGGACTGTGAAATTATGCGCTGGAGTATACAAGTGATTGGCATCTATACTAATGAAGTTGTAATTCAGCTCCAGTTTTTGGTAAGCAAGCGCACTGGAATCTGTTGAAAAAATTAAAATTGTTAAAATCAAATGAGATAATGATTGATTTGAGTATTTCCCTTTATTCCTTCCGCTCAATTTGTAACAATTCAAATAATTAAATAATCTGCACCTTTGATAACCATTATCAATTTACAAATATTTTTTCAGTAAATTATTTGTCAAAAATTAGAGAAAAAATTACCAATCCAAATTTATAGTTAATATAACTTAAAATAAGAATTTATCATAAGCGAAAAATATACCATTTTTGGCTTTAATTATTTCTTTCATTCCAGTTATCAACATATGGGATGAGTAGGAAAAATTTATCTTCGGAGACGTTCCAATCACTAAAGAGTGTGACTGTAGAATAACATTGGCTTGTATGGAAGAAATGGTTTTCCCAATCTGACAACTGTCCACATACAGAGCGAGTCCAAAGACTGGACTCCATTCAATGCGATATAAATGCCAAATATTAATCTTAATATCAAATGGCACTGCTAAATTCCACCGATGGTCGTTAGACACAACCGTAACGTGAAAAGTTCCATTGAAATAATACATTTCGATACCAGAATGCCCAGTTTGTAAACTAGACAGTACGTACAATTTGTTAGTCGTTATCTCAATGAATTGAACTTTTATGTCAAATTTGAATCCTGAAGAACATTTCGAGATGTTGCATATGCAAGCGTTCGTGCTCGAGCTCTGAAACTCGATATATTGCCCCGTTTTGTTCAAAACTAGCGCTAGCTCATTGCCGTTTTGCACAATCAAAGGATGTCCATGAACTGTAAAATTTTGGGCTGGTGTTTGTAGCATATTTCCATTAATATTAAGAAAATTGTAGCTTAGAGTAATCTCTGGGTTTGAACCTGTTATCAAACAATAAAGACACGTTAACGTTTAGAAAAGATAAGCAATAATAATAACTATTTTTAAAACAGAAAAAAAAGGTATAGATTTTGTAACATTCTTGTTTTTTAAAATATAAGAATTGAACTTTCTTGTTGGTTATTTATGATTATAGGACCACAGTAATTAATCAAATCAAGCATCTGCTTAATTACTGATATACTATGTAGTGTTAATGACAGAGTTAAACACACACCCATACATAATAATTATATATTCGCTGTTAGCATGTAGCGCAAATAGACAGTAACTGAATAGCATATCGTTATTAGAAATACATGTAGACATTACTTTTATCACTTGTTGTTGATTGTACTGGTGTTTGTGTTGTTGGTGGAGTTGTTGATATTGTTATATGACTTGTAATGGAAACTTTGGTTGACGATGTGCTTGATGTCTGAGGAACAGTGCTGTATTCTGATAAAATGAAAAAAAAACTTTAACTTATTAAAGTAAATATATCAAAAGCATATAAAGGTATTAATAAACTTGTATATAATAGATTTTTATCTGTTTCTTCATCGTATCCAGAAGAGTAATATCTTTCCATAGGTTAATCAAATCTAAATTACAAGTAGTAGCTATAATAGATGTACCTGTAATACATCCTTGTCCGATCAGAGAGTCACGTGATGCAGACCACGTGTACAGATTCCTAACATCCATCTGTGTGGAGGAATACGTGCTGTTTGGCGCATTTGCTATATACAGTGGGTATACAGTAGGCTGATCAGGGTTTGGTAATTCAATTGAATGAGACATGAATACTTTTCCATCCAAATAAACTATAAAGCCGTCTTTTTTGTTCCAAGAAACTTGATAAATGTGCCATTCTCCAGCTTTGACATCCAGTTTCTGCTTTGCAGTCCATATAAAGTTATCTTTCTTTGTAGAGCAATACAGGTCACCGTGCCAGAGGTATAAAGCCAGACCGCTGGCTCCTACTTGATCACCTCCGCTAGAGAATATGTATCGTTTGTCTGTGGTATTCATGTCCTTAAGTTTGATCTCTGCACTCAGAGTAAACCCATGATCACATTTTGTCATATCTTGGATACATTCTAGTCCGTAATTAGGCAGTTCAACATACTGACCATCTTTGTGGAGTTCCAGAATAGCTTTTCCATTTTGCTCAGGCGTTAAATGTGGTTTGCCATACACAGTAAAATTATACGAAGGCGTAATCAAGACGTTTCCTTCAATTTTATTAAAACTAAAATCCAACGTCTGTTGATCGCAGGAAGGAGTCGTAGCTTTGCCTGTACTCAATAAAGAGTTTATGTTGTATTACGATTTACACAACGTTGCAAATATGATGTAAAGCAATTGGAACTGGAATTTAAAAAAGTAAATAATTTGAAATTCTTACAGGAATCACATATGAATTAATAATATCTTACTTGTTGAGCCAGCCGTAGTTGCAGCAACTTGTGTTGTCGTTGTTTGCAGGGTGGCTGTAACAAAAATATTAAAAAATTTGTTAAAATATCAATATTTGTCTTCTTTACAATGTAAGTGTAAAATTTATAGTAAATTAAACTTTCTACATTTTTATAACTAGATCAAGAGTCTTACTTGTTTCTGTTGTAGTAGACGTGGTAGATGTTGCCTGCTGTGTCGTGGTTGGTCTAGGAGCTAAGATATATTTAGAGAATGTTTTAATACAATTCTTAATTATGAAAAAAGATGAAGATATCGAACAGTGATCAATCTACAAACAATATAAATCTGTGGACGTGGAATAAAACACGGACCCCCAGAAATTTCAGTGGTTGGATCAGGTGCCTAAGAGGAGTAAGCATCCCCTGTCGACCAGACATATCCGCCGTGAGCCCTATGTATTGATCAGGTAGACGGAATAATCTCAAGTCAAATTCAGTATAAAAACAAATGCCTAACAATTGATATGAATACGTCAGTCAAAATACGACCCAGTGATACCAGTTGCTTATATGATATGGCAGATTATAGATAAGAAACAAAAAAATCGTGCAATCAATACTCACTAGTAACCAATCCATTAATCATAAGATTTTCCCTATGGGAATCAAACGTTTGCACACCACTGACGGTCATAGAAATGGACACTTGATGGTGGTAGCCGTGTCCTATTGTAAGTGGCTTGACCTGGTGAGCTACAATTGGCTGTGGTTGGCTTACAGAACCAGCTAGATTATTATCAATGACAAGTAAAGACCCGGATGTCTTGCTCCAGGAGAGCTCAATTTTATGCCATACATTCAAGCTCAGTGTATTCGGGATTGTTACGACCCACTGTTTGGATGATGTCGTAACGACAAAATGTAGCGTATGGTCTTTATAGAAAAGAGCTATTCCTTTGTGATTCTGTAAGTCTCCACCACTGGATACAATGTACGTGTTATCAGTGAGTTGATGAAGATTCACATTAATTGTAAGCGTGAAACCAGAAGAACATGTGTCAATGTCCTTAAGACAGGCGTTGAATCCAGTGTTGTTGACTGTGATATAACTGTTTCCTGTCAGGCTTATTGCCTTTCCGTTGTCACTGTTCACAAGGGTTGCAGTTCCATGAATGTTTAAAGTAATGTGCAAGTTTGTGTGAATAACATGTTGTATGATTTGTGTAAATCCCAAGTTAAGGTGTACCATATTTGAAGCTGTAAAAAGCGAAAATCACATTTCAAAAAAGCTCTTACATAGGGCTTCAAATCTTTTTTTTTCTTTCAAAAATGCAAAACCTATTTTTTACTTAAGAAAACAAACTTACTCTGTTTATCACAGCTGTCCCCATAGAAACCATGAGGACATTTGCAAACATTAACACCAATACATGTTCCTCCGTTCTTACAGAAATCTTTACTACAAAGACCTAAATATAAACTGAATGTTAGTTTATAAAACCATCAGAAATATTTTCAAACAGAAAAAATGCAAATAATGTAATAAATATGTATTCTTTATGTGCTTTCTATATAAAAAAAATATATAACTTTGAAAAAAGGAATGTTTATACCAATCAATTGCTACCCTACTGACAAATATTCTTTTATGTAAAACAGAAGCTCTACCTGCTGGATCGCACCCTACGACTTCCATTCTAAAACAAGCCGCACTATGGTAAGTTTCAGGATAAATTCTAATAGCATCTGTGACGATGTATGGATTCAATCCGATATTGTAGTATAAAGTAGAGTTGTAAATTGATGGAATGTGCTGAAGAAATTGAAAGGTATTACCTCATAGTGCATCTCAATTTATTATTTTTGACATATCAACTATCAAAAGTATAATAAACAAAGTGTATACCTCATGAAAGCTACGCCACTCTCTAATGGGGTCCATCGCAGAGATGAATTTCAGTTCAAATGTCTCCATGTAAATACTAGGATACGTGCTCGAATCTTTTTGACTGGGGTGAAGAAAATGTAGACCAGACACGGCCATAGGTTTAGCAAGTCTGACCTCAAGCCAAGGATTATGATCACTGGGCGCTGGACACCAGGCTCCGTTGTCTTCTCCTGTGTGGTTCATTGATTACATTTAAAATTGTGTGTACGCAGAATATAAAGATAAACCTTCTTTAAAAAGACAAGATGTGTTTGTGAAACACTGAGGCCCCGTATGACAACTTATAGCAAAGGTTAAACTTTCTCAAATGCAAATCAAATATGCTGGTACCCAAAGTAAGGTCTTGTTTCGAGGAATATACCTGTGAAATATGAAAGCAATCGCAGCCACCATTGAATAGATATAGAAAAGGTTAAAGTTTTTCAAAAGTAAGTCAAACATCAAGGTCAAGGTCAAATGGTCAAAATTAATGGTGCCTAAGAAAAGGCCTTCTCACAAGAAATATATAGGTGAAATATGAAAGCCGGAGCACCAATCGCTCAGAAGTTATGACCAAGGTTAAAGTTTTTCAAAAGTAGGTCAAACTCCAAGGTCAAGGTCAATGGATTACAATTGTTGGTATCCGAAGGAAGGTATTGTCACAAGGATTGCATATGTGAAGTATGAAAGGCCTAACACCAATGACTCAAAAGTTATGGCCAAGTTTAAAGTTTTTCAAAAGTAGGTCAAACCCCAAGGTCAAGGTCAAAGGGTCAAAGTTGTTGGTATTCAAAGAAAGGTCTTGTCACAAGGATTACATATGTGAAGTATGATTGTAGGTATCCAAAGGAAGGTCTTGACACAAGGATTACACATGTGAAGTATGAAAGCCCTAGCTCCAACTGTTCAAAAGTTATGGCCAAGGTTAAAGTTGGGTAAAATTTTGTAAAACTAGGTCAAACTCCAAGGTCAAATGGTCAAATATGGCGGTACCCAAAGGTCTTGTCACAAGGAATACACATGTGAAATATGAAAGCCATAGCTCCAACCAGTCAAAAGTTATGGCAATGTTAAAGTTTTTGCGGATAAACAGACAAACAGACAGACGGACGGACAGGGCAAAAAGTATATACCCCCGAATCTTCGATACGGGGGCATAAAAATACAAACAGTAATATTTTACCTGAGCAACAGTTGTATCGGACCTTATCTTTTGGTTTCCCTGCCGCTGCCGATGACACAGAAATCATATCATCTGTGATGGCCCCGCTTGCCAACCCAAGGGCAGTTTCACACACTGTAAAATATTTATTTCAAATTATGGGTTTGTGAATTTTAAGTGTATAGTATAACTTGGTAACTAGAAAGATTTCTAATGATTCTATTGTGCTACAACTTTATATTCACTTTATAAATACTCACCAGGGTTTGAAACTGAAATAGTAATGATAGTTGAAATAAGTTGATTGTATTTGAATAAAAATGGTCTTAGGACTAGTTTTCTGATCAATTGTCTTTCTTTCGTTTTTACTACATATCTTTGCGTTGTATCATTGATCTTTAACATATTTTAACAGCATACTAATTTCATGCAAGTATATATATGCATATATATATATATATATATATATATATATATATATATATATATATATATATATATATATATATATATATATATATATATATATATAAAACGTTAAATTTTTAAACTTCAACACATAACAGCATACTAATATCGTGCAAAAATATATCTATTATACCAATAGTTTTTATACTAAGTTTTTGTATGATGATTTGGATAAATGGATCTAAAATTAATGCTTCCTTACTCAGATTTTCGCATCTTGCTCCGTTGTAGTTATTAAGGCATGCACATTGATTTTCAGCGATACACTGACCTCCATTCAGACAGGGGTTGGGACACAGGGCTAAATCAAGGTTAAATTGAATATGAAAACTAGACTGCTTGGTATTTAATATCCATTTTCCTTTGCTTTCAATCAGTCAATTTAAAGGAAATGTTTATCTTACCCTCATAATTGGTGCATCCTAACGGGTCAAATCTTAAACATGGACTTTTTTGGAAAGCGAGGATGTTGATTCTAAATTTGGTAACAACGAGTCCAGGATTTATTGTAATGTTTGTAGAAACTGTGTCGTCTCTGAGAGCATCTATAGGCTACCAATAGATAAATATTGACAGATCAAAAAAGGAAATCATTTCTCTGTGTACCAATATAAAAGTTTCTAGAAGTTCATGTTAAAGTTCATGTAAAAAAAAATCTTGATTCTTATTGCTAAGACCAAGCATTAAAAGAGTTTAAAAATCTTGATTCTTATTGCTGAAACTAAGAACTAAAAGAGTTGAAAATTTTCTCTAAATCATTATACAGAACTATGTAGCTTTACCTGAGGGTGAGTTGAATCAGATGAAACATACTGAAAAGATGTTGATCCCTTCAACATAAACTGTAACGATACAGACATTACATAACCCTCGTGGGCATCTTCTGGTTTTTGAATAACAAGACCACGTATTCCTACAGCTCGACCAAAGTCCACCTCAATCCAGTTATCTGTGGTGTGTGAATTACCACACCATCCTCCTTTTTCTCTTTTACCTGATGCATTTGAAAAGAGCAAAATATCTTGTTTCTATCTGAATTTTGTGTGAGTTGTCATTTCATTAATTAAAATAATTTATTATCCATCATACCAGGTTTTAAATGGAGCGTTTCCTACTACTTCAACATTTCTCTACTTAATGGCACCCAATTCAAGATTAAGACATATACTATTATATGTAGAATTTTAGCAAAATCCATTCAATAATCCAACTTATGAAACTTACTATTACAACAATCAATTCTGGCATTGGTAAGTCTTCTTGTTGAGGGATTGGACGTTTTAATCATGGACTCCGTTATACCACTCCACAGAGAAGATTTACATACTAAATAAAAATAAAAACAGTTCAAAATACTGAGTATTGCAAAAATAATATATTTGAAAAGTAGTCTCTCAGTAACTGCAACAATCTAATTCACCTATTATCATCTGAAGGACATTTGTTTAACTTGGATAAACTCATCTAAACGCACAATAGCAAACAATCAAAATTAAAGGCACATTATATCTCTTACATGTCTAAAACATTTATCATAAGACTCTTAGTGGATTGAACACTAATTGTATTAGCAATTTATTTTTATTTGTTGATTTTTAGCGTTTTATATCGTTGCTTTAACATAACATCCATACCAAGACAATCGAGGAGGAGCCACGTGTAACAGCTAAGTCGAGAGAAAAAAGTGAAAAGATACAGTTATGAATCTGCTACTGGAAAGCTACTGTTTCTTGTTTACAGAGTAATCATAAAAGGATCAAAATAAAAATCGCATATTTTCAAATCTTAGTATCACAAAACTTGTAAAGAGTAACAAAGATAGAAAAACTGTATATTTAAAGAGTTCTTTTAAATATATTATACCTATGATCACTGATAGAGAACCATAAAAATGCTTGACTCAATTAAGTAAAAAAAATGTTATTTACCTAATTTTTACAATAAAGATATATAATTTATACTGCACACCTACATTTGACCTCTACCTATTTTGACACTTCAGAATTGTAAATGGAGATGATAAGGAAATGACACGTTTTATTTGATAAATTATTAACACTTATTTTACGTACTAATCCATTTAACTCTTTAATAGAAGCTACATTCATCCGTGGTGATAAACAAAGGTATCAGGGGTGGGATCTGTTTTAAATACTTTTCCCTAAACTTTAAATGATGTGTAATTTGTCAAAACTGAGGTTTAACAAACATAATTAATGCTAGGGTTACATGGTAACGAGTCCAGAGCATCGAAGTTTAAGTCTGGTCAAATGAGGCTACGGAGGTAATGTGTTTTTTGGAACTTTTTACAGATAGATCATACAAAATATTTATAATTTTCATTTTTTTTTTAATTTTGAAACTGTTTATGAACTTTGTGTTATCATACCCAAAGCCTTACATGAATTTAGGAATCATGTTTTCATCTCATTCAAGGATCGTGGTTACTTATGTACTTTTTTAAATTCAAGAAATAAAAAAATGATGTAGACCTGTCTAAAAGATTTCGAAAAACAATTACAAAATTACGTAATTCAGTCTCTTTTTACTTGTTTCGTAATACACAGTTATTATAAACCCTTATTAGGTAGAACAAAATGAAGACAGGTACATAATTAAGGGATTTACAGTTTCTAAGCTAGAAATTAAGTAAAATTTGAATAAGACAAAAAATAAAAATAAAAAGCAGATGAAAGAAGTTAATTTGAAGGAACAGACAAAACTTGAAATAGTGTAAATAGCTAGATAATTAAGATTTAACAAAAATAACCGTAATGATTAATAACCATTATAATTAATCCTACTTAGTGAAACCAATTCCAACCAAGTATATTCAATTGATTGCAAATATAGACTAGGTGCACATGTATTAATGATTGAGAAGGGAAGGTTTACTCATATTCCTCGAGAGAATAGATTATGTTTTTTTCTGTCAATTAGAGGTTGAAGATGAGTACCATTTTATTTTGAAATGTTCACTTTATCATGAGTACAGGGAATTGTATATTAAAAAGTATTGTTGGTATAGATCCAGTATGTATAAACTTTTACAATTATTATCAACTGAAAATGTGAGTGAATTAAGTAATATAGGGAAATTCCTACAGAAAGCAGAAGCACTTAAAGATTCACATCTGTAAACTAAGGATTTTTTTCTTTAATATTGGTTTAAAATATTGTACACAAATAATATTATGTTAAAATAAGTGTATGTAAATATTTTATGTATGTACATTTTGTATTTTGTAATTGTCTAATGAGTATGTATTCTGATAAGCCAGATGGCTTAAGGAATAAATAAACAATCTGTTGGAAAAAAAGAAAAAATTTAATTATTGTAAGAATATATACATATATATATATATATATATATATATATATATATATATATATATATATATATATATATATATATATATATATATATATATATATATATATAAAGTTAAAAAATACATGTAAATACAAGGTAGGGTTTTTGCAGAAAGGCGACAGAAGAATGTAATAAATATAGAAATAAATCCGGAGAAGAGAGCCCCTCGCTACAGTCTAATCTTGGACACAAAACATTGCTTTATTTAAAGTTCAATGGGTCAATTTGTTGTTCTGTTACAAAATTAATATATCTTGACGCTTGGTACATAAAAGAGAGAGATAAAGAAACAATTTGTACATATTAAAATTGTCCGGTAGTGATAATCAGTGGTACCTTGTAGATGCTCCAGAATTCTATCTGAATTTGCGCCAAGCTTCTGGTAATCGTGGGACGTACTATGAATACATATTACGTATTAGCTGAATCTAGAGAAATTGGGGAGTGACAAAGTTAAGAAGATTTATGACTTTTTTGTTCATTTTTCTTATCGAGTTATTGAATTTCTCCTGTGACTTATCTGTCTATGTGGGCGGACCCTGTAAGGTTTTCAGCTGCAGAACATATTTACTTACTGCATAATATCCTCGTGCATCAGAGACGAAAAAATTATTAAATACGTATACAGAAATAAAGGTCATTTAGTAAATATGAAACATTTATGGAGAAAAAGATTATAAAAAGTCTTTGTTTCATATAAGAAGAAAATTCTCTTGGTGATGTTTTTGTTAAATAAGTTTTAACTGTATTGAAAGGTGGCTTTAAGTGATCATAAAACAGAAAAAATGCATTTTTGCTCATATTTTCCTACTTCTGCAGTAACTCAAGTATTTGGTTACACTGACAGTGCTAAAATTATGGGGGAAAATAAAAGCAGATTATTAATTTTATACCATGTGTAGATTTCTGTAAGTTCTTGTCTTTAATATTTTTCTGACATTAAAAGAAGAAAATGGTTTGGCCTTTTAAAGAGGTTAAACGGCACAGTCGTGAAAAACATTTCTCTTTTTTATTCGTGATGTTTGTTATTTTTTGTTTATTTTAAATTGCTATATTGATATTCTGGGTAAGTTTATGATTTTTTTAATCCGTTAATCATGATAAAAATTTGATACAGAATATATTTGCAATATATGAGATGTTAAGCTACTTTATTCAAACTTCACAAGACAAAGACCTACTTAGAATATTGTTACAACCTTTCCGTAGAGAATCCCTTTGTATTAAGATTTTAACTGTTACTGATTGTGGGATTTTGACAGGAAACTCAGACCACTAAATTACAATCATTTCTGAAACTTCCAGGGGAAGTGTTTGACCATTTTATCTCGTCATTAAGTGTAAATAACAAAGGATTTAAAAAACCTTATCACTGCTACATGTTGATAAATGAATGTAATGATTAACTCTGCTCAAATTTGGCAGCACAAATATCAAAAATTTAAGCAGGAAACTTGATTAACTGAGATTTTAAAAATATTTATAAACAAGAAATTTAGCAAAGTAAATCATAATTCATATGTATTGTTGCAATTCTTAAAAAAAGATCTTAATGTATTTATTTTTGCATAGTATGTCTTACTCAGAGGGTGGCAGCAATGTATGAAGTATTCATACTTTTTGTCGTAAATAAAAGAAATCATTTCGTTGGTTCTTTAGTCGGAATCATACACGGACATTTTCATTCAATGTGGAATTTCTTGGTGTTTCTTTACGCTGTTGAAAAAGTTTGATCGTAAACCGTTTCCCAAAAACATTTTAACTTCAGTTTTGTAACGTTTGCTAAACTAATAAAGCATCATTTTTATCAATGCACGGGAGAAACTTAACTTTTAAAAAGGAAATGATCAGAAATTTTTTTGGACTGCATATTTGAAGTTTTGCGATTCTGCAACTTCATGCAACTACATATATACTTTATTGTTCTGTCTTTTCTATATATATCCGGTAGTCAAGATTACTTTACTTCCTGTACTATTTTGTATTATTATACTTTCATGTTAAATACTAAAATCTGATTGGTTTAAACACATTTAACAATCCGTATTATTACCCTCAGCGTTAGCAACACACTTGACAAGGGGTAACATTACGAAAATATCACATGCGTTCAAATCATGCGCGTACGGTTCACCGTAGAATTCTCAAATCGTCGGTTGTGCGTTTGAAAGAAGCCGAATAAACGACGTCAATAAAAGCTTGCGTCCGATGTAGCTTACTTGAAAAAGACAAACGACAGACGAAACATCCTTGCGAGTGCAAACTTTAGGTGATAAAGGACTTTTTGAGTAGCAAACAAATAATAAAGAGGTTGGTAAATCTTTTACGAAGCTTTCCTATTGAGAAAAATAGAAGCGGGGAGTTTGAAAGCTTTCTAAGCGTGAAGTTAACGACGATCTCCGAATTTTTAATGACATCCGAAATCAATAAGACATTCAGTATAATAAAATAAATAGTGCACGTTTTTGAGGGTAAAAGTTGAAATTGACACCCCAAGGAAAACCATTGTCAACTGACGCTGACGCGTATATTTATATACTATCTTGAATATTTTTGTAGAAGAGAAATGAATTGTTAAGAGTTATTTAAAAAGCTATTTTAGTCAAGAAACAGCTTCATTTATAATAACCTTTGAAACAAAGCAATATATATAATATCCTATTCAAAAAGACTCTTAAGGTTGAAAATATCAAAATTTCAATGGAATATGATAGACTACTAGACTACAGTCTAAATTAACCATAAAGTCATTTAAAAAATACTTACCACTGTCCGGTAGAGAAGCAGAAGTTCCATGTAGGACCAAAGTTAACAGCAGCACAGCGAAAAACGAGGGCGACATTCTTTGAACAAAAAGTGAATCTAAATTTCGAAGAATATTCTTGAAATATTATAATATTTTTAATTTTGTTTTCTTCACAAATGTGGACGGGTTGATGTTAAGTATATATATAGAACGAGAAATGTATTTTTCTCAATACTTGTTTGATGTTGCTTATATTTGATTTATAATAATTTATTTAATCTATTATATTTCATTTTAAATAGTTTTGTTCTAATAAGCGCCCAAAAAATTCAGAATCAACAGCATTGCATTTGCCTAAATGTATCATCATTTTTATAAGTAAAGATAATTCAAAAGAATTATATCTATATGACATACATTACCTGCTCTATCTACCTCCGAAAACTACGGCCTGTTTTGCCACCGAAATCGATTGGATCGGATATTAAATACACTACGCTAAACGTCCCCACCCAGATTATTTATAGGAACAAATTCCTTATGGTATTCACCCCGGATCGCTTACCCTATACTTAAGTTGAAGGGAACCGCTGTTGTCACCAAATTTCATAGATTATCTTTTGAAGATCCGGCAGATTTAAAATCTGACATGTTACCTTGTACCATAAGTGTGGGTGGATTTCGTATTCAGAGAGAGATATGGCCGGGTAAAGTCTTTGTAGGGTGTCAAGAAAATAAATTCTTAATTTCTTTGATTTGACAGGGATTTGCAAGTCAGTTTGATATGTTTATTTGTTTCTTATTTACATTCAGAAGGTTAAACAATTGTAATTCAAAGAACCAGAGAACATTGTCGTCTATGTCTCTACAGAGCTGACTATTTGGTTATCTTGTGATTCAAACTAATATTTACTTTGGCATAAAAAGAACAACAACCTAACCGCACTAATTTTTTTTTAAATATTGTTTTGTTTTTCAAAAAAAATGCTTCAAAAAATATTTAATCAAAGTCTGGCATTAACTATATATGTTTTTTCGTCAAGGGTCTGAAATATATTGTATTTTTTTTCCTACAGTGAAAATCTTACAACATGAATAAGTTCACTATCTACACTTATTATGACTAATGCATTCAGATTACATTGTGTATGCAGGTGTGCATATTTGTTAATCTATGCTGGATGAAGGGTTACTATCCAAACCTTATTTCAGTTTGTACATTGTCTGTACAAAATAAGTACAGATAGGTCAATGTTTAATACAAGTATAAGGAACATTCCTAAGATATACTTTTAATATAAAATAACCATGTCCTTTGTAGAACTAACATTTTTTTTTATTTTTATGTAATATAAAGTTGACACAGGCACGAAGTATCGACTGACAAAACCTGACAAGTAAAAATAAGATTTAAAAAAAAAAAAAGAAGTGGGGGCCATCCTCCAAAGATCTGCAATTTGCCAGTGCTCGACTTTACAACAACAAGGGGGGGGGGGTGTGCAACAAGCTCTTAAATGAAAAATTACTATAGCAAAATACTATACTCAGAAAAAAGTGCCCCCCCCCCCCCCTGCTTTCTACGGTCCTGTAGATTTACGCACGGAAAACTCAATGTTATAATTAATGGCGATGTTTCTTACCAGCGTATGAAAAGTATGCAAAGCTTTTATGAAAACTGAAGCAAAAGGAGTTGTCGTGCTTAGATAATTACCTGGCTAACGAAGAGTTACATGTTAAAATAAGTCACGGAAACCGTAAGAAGAAGGGGGGAAAGGATGCTTCTCGCGGAAAAGTGAAACAGTGGTGCTTTGCTTTGTTGTCACTTTTAACTCTGTAATCATTATATTCTATATTAAATGTATCAAAAAATCACTAATCTCATTAATAATACATTAAAGTAATAAGTCTTATGCTGTCTTTTGTTTTAAATTTAGGTCACCTGAGTCACTCAGGTGACCTATTGCTATTTGTTTTTGTCCATTGCCGTGCATCGTTCGTCGTGCTTTAGTATTTGAACCTTTCAACGTCTTCTCTGGAGCCCCTGAACCAATTTCAACCATTTTTTTTGTATATAGCATCTATGCGCGAATAAAATATGGAGATAACGAATAGTGATCAAGCTCAAAAAACCATTGAAACAATACAAATCAGGAGCAAGCAAACACGGACCTCTAAAGTATCAGAGCTGCGATCAGGTGCCATGAAGGAGTAAGCATCTCTATCGATCGGTCACACATGCCTTATGCTCTTTGTACTGATCGGGAAAACGGAAAAATCCGTAGACAATTCAGTGTGTAAATAATGGCCTAACAATTAGTATGTAAAACGTCAGTCGGCATTTGACTTCATGATAGATTGTATTTCCTGGCAAGGTCATTGTATCGACCATAGAACTTGCGAAATGTTGACTTCGAGCGAGACTATTGATATTCTTATTTTATCAACGTAATTTGTCAATAGCTTGCCTCGTTTTAGAAATGGTTCAGATGTAGAGCATGCTATTGCGAATCAACTGGGAGATATAACCCAATGACAAGGATACATTGCTACATAAATAAGGGAAGCTGACGATAGAAATGTTGAAGTCATCACGCTTATCATAAAGTTTTGTTGATAGATCACCATTATACGTCTTTTTTCTAGTGTAAATATTCAAATATGAAACAAATGTATCTTTTACTTCAAGTTCACTGGGATATATTGAGTCGACATATAAATGGGAGTAGCTATTGTTAATTGTTGATACGTCGTCGATGAATAAACAGTGCTTCATGTGAATGTAAAAATAGGTCTGCTGATAACGGTGCGCAATTGGTACTCATGGGAATTCCGACAGATTGTTGGAAGACTTGACTTAAAAAAAAAAAAAAACAAACGACGAAGTTATTGTCATTTAAGAATACGTAAGGAACACATGTTTGTAGTATTTTGAGACGGCCTAAATATAAGGGGGAAAAATCGAGACGCAAAGCACTTTTTTGTGCGCAATAGATAAACATTTTTTTAAATGGGTGACATTGTACATAGTCCTCTGGTAGTCTCTTCTAGTTTCTGCATGTAGACCAACAACCTTCGTCACTTTTTCGCCCAGATCATCATCGGTGCTTGCATTGGTGTTAATATGATTGATGATTTCGAACATTTTAACAACATTTTGAATGATAAGGTTCCATAACCACAAGTACTTTTTCTTCAATCAGAAGATGTCACCAAGTCATCATTCATCGGAGTTCTTGACATCCTAATCTATTGCTTCTTCTGTTTCATACATATTTTCAATAATAAAATCACTGTTTGATATAATTGTAATTTTTTTCAACACTGAGTAATGCTCTTGGGTAAAAAAAATCCACATTAACTGTATTTAATTCCTAAACAAAATGCCTGTTCAATTTCAAGCTGACTTTTATCAGAGCAAATAAAACAAAATAGAGACAAAACTAATTGTTATCAGAGAATAATATTTTTACGCATTTTTCTGATTATTTCAAAATTGAAATGTTTTCAGCAAACTTTAATTTTTTAGCAAATGTTTCGTACTTTGAAATTCAGCAGCTCTGTTAAGCAATTAATTGCTTTCCGGAATCATTAAGTTTTATCGTTGAATAGTTTTCGATTCAAACTTTCTTAACACAAAGGATACAGAAGTAGTTTTAAAAAATATGCAAAAAAATTTTAAAAAACTTTTAGTTAGAGTTTTTATGCTATTATACAGTTTATACACATATAATAGTTTATGATGCGCGATTTTGAAACGTATATTTTTACCAAGAACATACGCACACAATTTTGATAACAGCAATTATATATATAATTAATCATTAAGCAGTTAAATCAATGCAGGGAGGAGAACTGACCCTCATTTTTTCTGAAAGTATTCTCTTTCTGTTAATTTAGTGTGAAATTATTTATATAAAGGCCGTCCCCCCCCCCCCGCTCCCCCTTTCAATCGTTGTTGTGGTAGGTTCAAATCTCCCATTTTACAGTATTAGTTACAGACGCCACACGCCTGAGCTGGTCTAATTGCACATATGATGTGAACTATGCAATAAAATTAAAATGCTTTATTACTAATTAACAAGGTATTTTTAGAATACTTTTAAGGAATGCGTATCCCCGAGTACCCAAACTCCGTCACCGTAAGAAGAAAACACACCCACCCCCCTTACTCTCCGAATATTTTCTTTTATTTATTTATTTCTTGTTTGCTACATTTAGTAATTGACTTAAAAATGTACAACACAGCGATGCACCTCACCCCCTTAAAAAAATTCCTCGGGTTTATTTTTCGCTATTATTGAAAATTTTATACATGACTAGATCTACTAATTATATGCTTATCTTGGACAAAGTCGTTCAAGTCGTATTTGGGCAGGAAGTTCCAAAAGTTACCCCCCCCCCCTTTTGGTTGTTCACGAGGAGAGGAAATTTTTAACCAAGGACCTTAATACTCCTTGATTTTCAAAAAAAGTCAGATTAGCCTAGATGTCAAATTTCAGTGACTTATTCTTTTGTTCATTGAACACACAAATAAAGTAATTTTGTAGAGGTAAACATCGACAAAAACAACTTTGAAAAAACTTAAACTGAAAAACCAAGTTTCATCTTCGTCTTGAAAAATGCATTTTTTTTTCAATTTAGATAACTTTTTATGAAAAAAAAACTATCCTTAAATTTTGGAAAAACCATATGCTTAGAAAACGCTACGCAGACGTAGCCTATGTTTTATCAAGTTCATGGCCCCTCCGTTGCAAAGAAGAAACGGACGGGGGGGGGGGGTCTTAAAATTTCAGAAGTTGCCTACGTGTACATGTTATTTTTTCAAAAATGTCGACATGTTAAATAGTTATGCTGAACATAAATACGAGATATCAGTATGATACATTACTAAGTAGAAATGTAGAAATTTCATATCAAATATCGCTCACATGTGAAATCCAACATGCGAAATGAAACTTATTTATGTCCACAACCTATTTATGCTGCACCTTATGTTAACATGCAACTTACTATGGTAATATTTATCCTATATGCGAGCTACTTTTCTATACATTATTGACATTCAAGAAAGTTGGGTCGATATGAAATGTAAATATGCAACGTGCAACAGAACTATGTTGGCATGCAAGAAAAAAGTGATTGGATAAGAATTAAGAAATTTTCGCACATCAATTGTCATCCACATTTGACTTCAAACATGCGAGAAGCATTTTATTAATTCTAATATGCAACTCTTTTATGTTGACAATCAACTTATTTATGTTTCAAAGGAAAGTACTAATGTTCATGAGCAACCCATTTATTATCTGTGTTGACATGCAACATAAATCAACAAACAACATCGATGTTTTAGTTGATGAATACATTTTGTTATATAATACCATAAGGAAAAATCATTAGTAATGTTTCCCGGTGTAATTTGTGGTATAGAAAATTTTAGTTAA